CGTTGAATCAAATAACATTTTAAAAGCATTAAAATGTTCACCTGCCATCATCTTGTCCCTTGCTCTTAGGACTTGCTGCCTTCTGAGTCATTAATTCAGAAATGGTCATAATGTCAACATGGAAAACATTTTGATAAAACAGCACTAGCTTTTGAAATTCAGCGATGGGTCATAAGAAGATAATGTAGTTGGCCCTTGGTCAGTTTTAATTTGTATGGTTTTTAATTCTTTATGGGATTTAATGCTTTTTTTAAGGGGGGGAGGGTATTGGGGTTTGAACTGGATTATGTATTTTACACTGTTAGCTGCCCCGATTATTCTCAGAGGGGCGGGATATAAATAATCTATTATTATTATTATTATTATTATTATTATTATTATTATTATTAGATAAGAAAAGATGTGCTGATGAAGAGGAAAGATACATCTAGTCCAGTATCCTGCTTGTCACAAAACCCAGCCAGATATTCTCATATATGTTGTAAAGTACCCAAGCAAGTCATAGAGTCAACAGCCTCTCCTCCTCTGCACACACACATACTGTTCCTACCAGAATTGTTATTCCATGACATAGTACCTCTGAACATGGAAATTCTATAAAGCTACCATAACAAAGAGGTATTTTGGAGATTTTTTCCCCCATTAATGTATCTAAATCCCTTATAAAAGCTAGTGGCTATATTGAATTAAATATATATTGAACCACATATTTAATCATAGATTCATAGAATCATTATTGGAAGGAATCACATGGGTCATTTAGTCCAACCCCTATGCAGTATACACAACTAAAACACCTCTGCACAATGCCCATACAACCTTAAAAAAAAAGAAAGAAAAAGAAAAAAACCTCTGAAAATGAAGAATGCACCACTTCCAAGGCAGTTTATTCCACTGCCAAATAGCTCTTACAATAAAAATGTTTAGGTGGAATCTTCTTTCCTGTAATTTGAATCCATTAGTTCAAACAAATTTCCTCCATCTTCATGTTTTGCACCTTCCAGTAGATATGATAATGATCATGTTTATGCTGATGCCACTTTCCTGCATAAATTAAGATTCAAAGTGGCTTCCAATTAAAAAAATATACAAAAGTAAAAAATCAATATAGAATTAAACTATTACAGCAGGGGTCGGCAACCTATGGCCCGTGGGCCAGTTCCGGCCCGGGTCCCCCCGCTTACCAGCCCCCGCCGACCCCTGCCGCCGCCGCCACCTACCACTGCTGCTGTGAGTTTTGGCCACCGCGTGGCCACGCACGTTGCATCCACCATTTTGTCTTCCAAAATGGTAGCCGTGATTTGTTTGTGCATGCGCAGTACTTCTGTGCATGTGCAAATGCATCACGGCTGCCATTCTTTCTTCCAAAATGGCAGGTGCGACATGTGCGGTGGTGGCTACGGAAGTGCATGCAGCAGCTGCAGCAGTGGCAGCAGTGCATGTGGTGGGGGTCATGTGCAGCGGCGGGGGTTGTGTGCGTATGTGTGAGCACACATGCTGCCATTCCCCCCCCGGCCCCCCGGAAGGGAGGAATTCAGTGGACCGGCCCCTGGCTGAAAAAGGTTGCTTAGCCCTGTATTATAGTATTAAAACACATCACTCATTAAAAGAAAAATGTAGTTTTAAAAAATGAAAGCACTTAAAAACAGTGCAATTCAAACAGTGCAATACCCTCAGCACCTTCTTTAAAAACTTTCTGTTTTATAAGCCTGTCTAACTAAAAATGTCTAACCATGCTGATGGACAGACAACAAGGAGGGGAGCATTCTGATCTCCCTGGGAAAGGAGTTCCATAGTCTTGGGGCAGCCACCAAGAAGGCCCTTTCTGCACTTTGAAGAGGTAATGTGGAGTTTCAGTGCACAACTCACTTGTTGCATCAGCTGTACTGGCTGCTGGTCCATTTCCAGGCAGAATCCAGAGTGCTAGTGCTGACCTATAAAGCCTTATTTGACTCAGGTCCATGGTATTTAAAGGACTGTATTCTCCCTTATGAACCTGCCCATATTTTGAGATCTACTGGTGAAGACCTTCTCCCTGTCCCACTATACTCACAGGTACATCAAGTGGGAACATGGGAGAGGATATTCTCAGTGGTTGTACCAAGGCTCTAACCATGAGAGAGGTTAGGCGGGCATGTTTCCTACCCCTCTTACATGGACAGTTTCAGCAAACCTGTTGGAGGCCTGTCCCACCTGAACAATGTACTGGTGTTTCTGTTTGTTATCTTTGATGTGCTGTTGTTTTAATAGCTTATGTTTTAATCTCATATCATTTATTTTTATCATGTAATAACTTCTTAATTTTAGTATTTTGTGAATTTTCATAGTCTGGTGTAAACCATTGAGTCCAAACAAGGGAAAAAGTAGGAGGATGATGATGATGATGATTCAGTGGGTTGGGGAAGGTCTGTCTAAGATCAGTAGAAACACAAAAAATGTCCTTGTGGAGCCACTGTTAGCCACAAATTGTTCAGTACTGCTTTAAATCCTTTTATGTGCCTAACTGTTTATCCCAGACTTTAGGCCCTTGCCTATATCAGTTAATAGCCTGAGTAAAATGCTACAGCCCCATGTCCAGTCAACACAAGATGTGGCAAGGCCACTCATTAGGAAAGATAGCAGTGAGCTCTCCTATAGTTAACATAGGGGCCTTCCATACCTGTTCCTAGCAGCACCATTCTCTTAACTTCTTCATCACCATGCAGAAGTAAATAGAAGCAGCAGTAATTTCCACTGTGTCTAATAGTCCAGTCTTCCAAGCAGTGACATCACTAGGGTTGGCATCACCCAGTGTGGTAATTCAGGGTGTCAACCCCCCCCCCTTGACTTCCTCCCATACCATGCCATACAGAAACCTTAGGAATGTTTTATGTTACCCATAAACGATAATTCCCATATATCACTGAATATAATGGGAATAGTTGTGACATAAACCAGTAACACAATAAAAATTATATCTTTAAATTATAATATTGTATGCATAGCCTAAATGTATTTACATGGACTGTTTCATGTAGTTAAAGTGAAAACTTGGTAAGATTAGATGATTTTAAAAGTAAAAATGTATTTTAAAAATCTGGAGCCTCTCCTATCTCTTCCCATTTACTCACCCCACTCACCCCATATCTTCAGCATTTTAAAGAAATATAGGCAAACACGACTGCCCGTTTCTGCCAAAGACAGATGTTTGGAGACCAGTGGTGTCATCTAGGGTGCCATCTGGTATGGCCCACACCCTTCACATCCCTTGCTTCCAAGCAAGTGTGAATGGAACTGGATCTTCTATACCGTTAATAGCATAACACTTTTTCCCTCTAGCAGTACTGCAGACATGGGGGGGGGGGGGTTTCAGACTGCCAGAAATAGTGTAAATTGAGACCACTTTTAGGGTTAGGGTTAGGTTAGGGAACCATGGAAAATGTAGTTTATTGTGGCACCAGAGTTCTCTATCAGAGAAGGCTCAATATCTCAGGAAAAAAAATTCCCATGATTCCCTAGCATTAACCCTAACCCTAAAAGTGGACTCAATCTGTACTATTTCTGGCAGTCTGCAACCCCCCATTGTTGCATTTTACAAGTTTGAACAACCCCCACAAAATACCCAGCTTGAAGTCACATGAGACTTTTTCTTCATCTACACCCTTATCGTCTATGCTGATTCTTTCCCATTCTGTTTGGAATTCTTGATCTGTTCCTTTTAATTGGAGATGATTGAGAGAGAAGTTTGTGTCTTCTGTACATAGAGCATGTGTTCAATTGTTGATCTATAGACCCTTCCCAACACAGGCACACTGCCCATATATCTTTGCATGTATTCTTTGGGCATGCCTCCTGTTTAGGAAAAGGTAAGGCTAGAGCAATGACTCATCATAAGGGTAATGGACTTCTGCCTCTCAGTTAATTATTATGCATTAGACTTGCTGGGGCATTCATACTCAATATAGGCATGGAAGAATTATAATACCCCTGCAAAGGCCCCTTTGAAAAGACCAGGCAAGACTCATTCACTCATTTATTCATTTACTCATTTCTTGCTCAACCCAGTCATGCCTTAACATAAGGTAATTGCTGCAGAAAGGATAAAATTTATGATTTATTTGTTTTTTGTCTATAGAACGAGATGTAGGGAGTACTGTAAAAATGCTCCTCTCTCTTTCCCTCATGCCATGCCCCCACTTTTCCACATCTGATCCTGTCTTACCTTTGATTCCCAACAATATGGCAAAGGTGAAGGAGTGGAATCTCACACAGATGATGCAAAGAAAATCAATGACTCAAAGTTTAATGAGACAACCAGGCTTGGTGCCATCACCTACAGAGTGTTAATTAATATGAAGAGATATGTTTTGCATCAGAAACCAAGTGTGATTATTCCTGCATGTGAGTTGAACTTGAGTGAGTTATACTACAGCAACATAACCAGAATACAGAAACTAGATAGTTAGGAAGAAATTGTACATTTGAAATGACAATAGAGATGGTGTTGTAGGTTAGGTTTAGCTGTGTGTCAAATTATATACATGGAAGCTTCTAATTTACTGCATATCTACAGATTGCGATAGGGAAAATGTGGTCTATGGACACATGTAGCCCCAAGGGTAAGGCCCCCACCACCCTCTACTTCCCAACATCTTTTGTGTGTGTGGGGGGGGGAGAATGAGTGGTATTTTTGTTCCAAATATCCTCTGGAGAGAATAGCAGATAATTTTGGTATGCTTATGGAGCTCTGGGCTATTTGAAGCTTAAGGAAGGCCTATTTTCCTAACAGGAAGTAGAACAGAAGTTGATTTCCAAGATCTCCTAAGGAGCCAATACCAAACTAATCCCTGATAGTTGCCCACCTTGGTCTAAATTACATTTTGCAACATTTTAAAATATAATTAAACATAAAAGAGTGTACTGCGGACTGGCAATGAGATTATTCATAGGCCTGGTTTAATTAAGAACATGTGAATATGGGATTAGCATTTCTTGTTCAGAAAGCCAGCATGGTATAGAGAGCCAGCATGCTGTAGTGGTTTGAGTTAGACTAAAAATCTGGAGATCAGGGTTCGATTCCCTGTTCATCCATGGAAACCCACTTGGAAACCTTGGGAGAATCATACACTTTCAGCCCCAGAAACCCCTATGCTAGGCTTCCCTTATAGTTTCAATAAGTCAGAAATAACTTGAAGCCACACAACACAACCACCATGAACAGCAACTTCTTGTTCTCATATGAAAGGAAAAATCTATCAATTTGCCTTTCTCACTGGTAAATTTCTCCCTCATTTCTACTGGCATTAGATTCAATAGATAACATTATTTCCAGCACAGGGGAGACCATCCTACATCTGTTTGCCAAAAAGTATTAAAGATGAGTAGCCTCACAGAAAAAGAGAGATGGAAACCATAATTCAGTACATAAATGGTGGAATATATAGGGCACTGGAGAGGTACTGGGTATGGTCACTACAGCAGCATCACTGGGGTGTATGTGTGGGGGGTGCGTACCACACCGGGTGACACCCCAGAGAAGGAGAAGGAGGTGGCAGCAAGGAGCCAGGAGACGCAGCAGGGAGGGGTGTGGGCATGGAAGTGTGTTCAGCCTGCCTGAGCCTGTGCCCATTCCCATACCTCCTTGAGCAAGCCCTGCCCCTTCTGCAACTCAAGCCCCACGTCCACACCAGGTGACACCAATGGCAGGGACACCACTGGGTCACTGATTGCTTTAACAATTGTTTATTTTGCCTGCATTGCAAGAGGAAATGCAAAGATCATGGGGGATGGAAAGTGTTCAGCCAATCCATTTCCTTAGTTTTACACATGTCCTCCAGCCAGCATGACTCCTACATGTGTTTTAATGTATTGTTATGTTTTAATGTATAATTTGTTTAATACTTTCTTAAGGGGTGGGTGGGTTTCAGAGTTTTTGGGATGTGTGTTATATTTGTATGATAATTTTAATGTTGTAAGCCACCCTGATTGTTTGGCAGAGGGGTGAGATATAAATGATAATAATAATAATAATAATAATAATAATAATAATAATAATAATAATAATAATAATATGCACAACTGTAGATATTAATTATGAAACTGTATCCAGCAGGAGGGGTGTAGGTATGCTAACACTGTTGACCTACAAAGACCCAAATGTCTTGGATCCAAGATATCTGAAAGACTGCCTCTTCCCATATGAGCCTGACAGAAACTTGAGATCCTCAGTTACTGGAAACTTGGGGCCTTTGCAGACTGACAGAAATAGTGCAAATTGAGTCCACTTTAACTGCCCTGACTTATGCTAGGAGATCATGGGAACTGTAGTTTATTGTGGCACCAGAGCTCTCTGACACAGAAGGTTCAATGTCTCAGAAAAAGTACAATTCCCATGATTCCCTAGCACTGAGCCAGGACAGTTAAAGTGGACTCAATTTGCACTATTTCTACCATTCTGCAAAGGCCCTTGATTTCTTTACCCTAGACTTGTTTCTTGACCTCATTATCTGCTACCCATGGACTTTGCTTAAATTTACAACTTAATAGAACCAATGCACATGGCTTGTAAGGGGTGGCTCTGGGCTGTCCCTGGGAGTGGAAGACTGGGGCCGCGGCAACCACATGCCACAACCCCTATCCTCCTTTTTGTTGTCCCCAAAAGAGCAGCAAAATGCTGCTCCTTTTGGGGGCAGCAAAAAGCCACTCTTAGAGCTGCCACTGCAGCTCTTTTGCAGATGGACACACGACATCGGGGCAGAGTCAGGGCAGCTGGTGTGTGGTTGCCCCACCCCAACTCCACTCCCAAGATGGCCTAAAATGCCAGTCTGCATCAGCCCTTACTCTGCAGTGTTTAGAATTCAAAGATACAGCCTGGAATCAGTATGTAGAGAGATCTTGTAGCACCTTTGAAAGAAAGAAATTGGCAGCATGAGCCTTTGTACGCTTAAGTATTATTGGATACTGCTTATTCCTTCGGCTTCTCAACTTCTGGCATTCTGGCTGCTGCAGTGTAAGAACAGGATAGGAATGTTCCTAGACTGCTTTTAGCAGTTTTGAAAAAGTATTTTAATGTGTTTTTAAAATGTTCTAATCTATGTATTGTTTGAAGTGGTTTTCATATATTCATTACTTTAGGAGTCCTTGTACACTGGGAGACAATGTAGAAATACTTTTAATTAAAAAAAATATACAAAAAATAGTTCAGCACTCAAACCACTACACCACACTAGCATATACCCTAAAACAGGAGTAGGCAACCTTTCCCCTTTAAGGGCCAAGGGGCTTCAGCTCCCAGAAGCCTCAGCCATGTTGGCCAATAGCTCTTGGGATTCCGGGAGCTGAAGTCCCTTGGCCCTTAAAGGGGAAAGGTTGCCTACCCCTGCCCTAAAAGGTTAAAGAAACTTAAAAATGATGTGCCAAGTGCATTAAACTTCAGGATGAATATGTGAAATACCATATATGTTTCATGGCTCTAGGTTATTCCCTTCTAGGTCAGGCCAAAAGCTTTTCAGCATTTCCTTGTATAACTAACAATTTTTTTCTAATGCAAAATTAATACTTTGCAATGCCTCCAGCCAGGTAATTGCCTACTGTCTCAAATTCTTTTCATCATTAATATGAAGACATTTGTAAATTCATATATATATGAACTGAATCGAATCCTCACCTATTTCTATTTGTCACTGCCATATGTACAGCTTGTTGAAGCTGAAAGACTCACAATAAATTCTGCTGGCATTATGGTTTGTTTGTTTTCCCCCTTCTCTCCCTTGCCTTCCTGGTGCTTTTAGGCATAGTGGCTATGTTTAAAACATGTATTTTATTGACTAGCGGCCTTTACAGACTGCCAGAAATAAGGTAGATTGAGGCCACTTTAAATGTCCTGGCTCAGTGCTAAGGAATCATGGGAACTGTAATTTATTGTGGCACCAGAGCTCTCTGGTAGAGAAGGCTCAATATCCCAGAAAAAAATACAATTCCCATGATTCCCTAGCACTGAGCCAGGACAGTTAAAGTGGCCTGAAGCTGCATTATTTCTGGAAGTCTGTAAAGGCCCTAGGAGCGGGGTGGGTTGTGTGTGTTCTGTGACTTTCCATTTGTTGTTGTGCAATGATTCATGTATTCCTATACAGCTGCCCTTTGCTATCACCTGTTATTTCATAGTGCAGACACTATGTATGCCTTTGGAAAATGAGATTCCATAATGAGCAAAGCTGGAAAAGATTAATTTCCATGAAATGACTAGACAGGTACTCTGAAAGTGCTGTTAGAAAAAGAGAATACTTGGCTTCAGAGAGATAATGGCTTCAGTCCTGTAGGCATCAAGGCTCTTTAAATCCTATTGACTTCGATGGGGTATGTCCCCCCCTTTATTTATATTATGTTACCTGTCGAACTGTAATACAACTATCACTGAGGTATCTTAAAGCTGTTTTTGTTTTTTGTTTTTTATAAATACACAAGGTTTCTTTTCAAGTGAAAGCTGCAAACCTTTCTAAAAGGGTATGAAAAATGCATTCGTTAATGTCAGGCAGCTGCTGAACTGTATGAACAGATGTAGGGAATTCAGAAGTATGTGCTTTAAAAAATCCCTTAGGTACATATCATAGAAGTGAACTGGTTTCCTCCATGGTTTACTAAGAAATAGAAGGGAATGAAGGAATCTGACTGCCTTTTTAAAGTTTTGTTACAATGCAAGTCACTCCATGGTTATGAATGGATCTTCACAGTCCCTTATTTAGATTGTCCAGTTATTTGAAGTGAAATAGGTGGTAATCTCTAAGATCAAGGATATTTATTTAGGGTATCCTGTCTTTGAAATTCACTTGCTAAAAAAATGCACTCAGTGCTGAGTATGATTTTGAGGTTGTTGGGTTTTTCCTCCTTCATATCTGCCCATGTCCTTCTATTTATCTATTTAGATTTCCTCCTCCCCCCCATTTTATGCTGGAAAATTATGCATTCTATTGTTTTGTATAATTTTATTAGGTATATTGGTCAAAGGAGATACTTAGCACACACATCAGTACTTTGATTGCCCTATCTCCTCTTCTAACATTGCTAATTCATCTAAATGAGTCAGGGGAGATAACTTTACATGTTTATCTTATGTTTGGTCTGGTTTCCCCAAAGGCAGGGAGAAACCATCTCTAATCTGCACTCCTGCCATTTCTCAGAGCCAGAAATCTTCTCAATATCCATCCCATTTTCATCTCAGAGCTGTACGTTCATCACATCAGTATTAATTGCTAGATGTTTTTAAAGTTAGCCTAGCACTTCATATGGATATTTTAATTCCCCATAATTCTGTGTATTTGTAAAATTGGATAATAAACTGTTCCCTTGTTTGCACCTTGTAAGAGAGTGAGTGTAGGTCTCTTGTGACCAAATACGCATGTTGTGCACACTTGTCTCTGTTAAAGATCATTGACCATATTGCTTTGATAATACATCTGGAGTCATCTACAAATATCCTGACCCATGTGTAGTAGTAGCCTGAGCTCATTTTCTGTTCCTTTTCTTTCCTTTTTGTTTCTTCAGCTAATAACCAATTAGGGGACCCAGCATATGTGTCCCCTTTTGTTGTTGTTGCTATGTACCTCCAAGTCATTTTTGACTTATGGTGACCCTAAGACAAATCTATCACCGGGTTTTCTTGGCATGTTTTTTCAAAGGGGGGGTTGTCATTATCATCACAGCCTGAGAAAGTGTGACTTGCTCAAGGTCACTCAGTATGTTTACATGGCCAAGCTGAGAAGTAGGGCTGCCACGGCCCCTAGGAGTAATGGTATATGAATATGAATTGGGGTCTGAACTGCATATTGTGCTTGCCGATTAGTTTCTAGACAAGGTACAAAGTGTTGGTTGTTGCCTTTAAAGACCTATATGGTTTAGGTCTGGATTAACTCTTCCACTCTGCACACTCCATTCCTCTGGGAAGACATTTAGGGCCTTTACAGACTGCCAGAAATAATGCAGCTTGAGTCCACTTTAACTGTCCAGGCTCAGTGCTAGGGAATCATGGGAACTGTATTTTTTTCTGGGACACTGAGCCTTCTCTGTCAGAGAGCTCTGGTGCCACAATTAACTTC